TACTATATATAACTATTACAGATTTACTCAACTAAGTCAGATCAGTTTCAATGATCACCAAGATGGTAACGTGAAGAAAATGCATAATATTCGTACATACTAAGTACCTATAATAGCCTAAGTAGAGTATGTAACTTTATATGACGATATAAATAGAAACCGCGAGCAACTTTTTTCGTTGTCTCAAAATCTGATCAATTTTAATTCATAAAATCTTTCTTCTATGTTTACTCTTTTTGCTATATAACGTTTTTATAATTATCACAACTCAAACAATATTTAATATTAATTATATAATTCTTTTTAAATGATTTTTGATTGGATGACTTTTCGTATATTTCCAAATGTTTATATATTAAAATCTAAATAAATTCTTATTCAGTAGTTATATGTAAAATGTATGTGAAATATAAATAAAGTAAATGAATAATAGTAGTATAGGCAATAATTAAGAATAGTTTTAATATAATTCTTTTGCTATGATTTATTTACATATTTTAAATGTTATAATGTTTAACATTATAATAGTCAAAGTAAATAATATTTTATATTAAAAAACTTAATAATTAGATAGTAAATAATAATTTTTTCATTAGTTATAATGAAGTTATTGAAAAAAATATTAAGAGAAGATTTCTACAATGTCGACTTAAAGAAATTATAGTAAGCTGTCTAGTATCTTCAACAATATAATACATACAGATCTTATAAGGTTATCATGAGTACAAATAATTCGGGTTACAGTGAATACGTTGATTTAATGTTTTTTCTCCATTATTTATAGTCTATATATTTTTTTAATTGTTAGTATTTAATTGAATTGCTTATATTAATATATTTTAAATATTATATTAAAATTATTATAGCAATATAAATTATAAATATATTTTAAAAATTAATTTTATGATTAATTATACAAAGTTGAAAATATGGTAGTATGTATATTTCTGAAAATATAGATGTGAACTATACTTTTTTTAAATGATACGGAGTGCAAGAACCAGATACCATGTATTTTCTTTAAATTCTTGAATTGTATTATAATAATATTAATGTAATTGTACGAATTATATTATAAATTCATAAATTAACTTAAATAAACTTATTAATTTTTAATTGTATATCGATAACGTTAAAAAGTGATTAATGTTAAAAATGTTTATTATAAAATTTTTCAAAAAACAGGGATTTCTGATTTATACGAACTATATATTTATTCTAGATTTTAAAAATTATAATAATGTATAAAATTGTGATATAATTTGATATATCATATATATATATATGATAATAATATAAAAACTATGCAATGCTTCTAATGATATTCTTGCAGTATTTTAAAATTTTTAATAAATGAATTTCATTGTATATAATCTAATTTTATATAATAAATATTATTTATATTATAAATATATAATAAAATATTGTTTGTTTTTTCATGCTGTTATCCTAGTATATGTTTTCTTACATAAATGTATATTATATAAATATATATATAATTTTGTCAAATTCTAAAATTTTTATGCATTTTTATAGTTTTCGTATATTGTATCAGAAACTTTTTGTTCGTCGTTATCTTAATACTATAATTTACTGTTGTCACATTGAAAATTGTTTCTTCTTTTAATTAATTTTTGATAATGCAACTTCCATTTATCTTAGAAAGTTGAATAAATGAAACTATTTTTGTTTTATCCTTTCTCATTGTCTACCTTCTATCTAGTCGTTGTCTGTCAGTCTGTTAAGAGAAAAAAAAAGAAATAACCAGTGCTTCAGTGTAAGAATCTGCGCAGCATGCGTTTCTGTACCTTGCGCAGCATTCTATTGTTCAGCATTTACATGACCAGTAAAGTTTGTAACACGGTTGCTAAGAGTTATTTATTCACTCAACGCGATGGCGTCACCCTGACGCTGAGTATTCCAACTAAGTCGTTATGCACGCGCGTGTAATGCGAGTCTAAAGCTTCCCTACATGTAGGGCTCTAATAAGCGGCGTCAGGAACATTCTTGAAAATTCGTTCGTAGTGATATCTGATGACTTTTTACGTTTTATATACCTGGTACCGCATACAACAACACGTATTTCTTACATCATTAACTGCATTCATAAGATGTCATGAAGTCCTCTTTATAATATATGTATAAATTAAGTAGCAGGGCAAGCTGACGATTGAATGAATAACGTGATTGTGCATAAATTGAAGTATTATCGAAAATGTTTACTTATAAAATTGTTCAGTCTTCAATTTTTTTAAATTTGTTTCCAATTAAAAATGTTCATGCCACTGGACTGTATTACAAAAATTATCGATTACTATTTTTTCCTTATCTGTGATTTCGTATTTTATAAAAAACTGTTTATTAGAAAGTATCAGAACTATAAATACTAGTATAAAAGTATTATAAATTTTTAAAAATTTATAGTTAAAGAATTAATTATGATATAATTAACCGATAATCATCAAAATAATTAAAATTTTTTCTTTTTTTAAATAAAGGTTGTGTATAAAAATTTAAATAAATTTTTAAATAAATTTTTAAATAAAAATTGCATATGAGGATACACACTCATATTTATAAATATATACAGACGTATATGTATAATATATTTTGTAATTTAGTGAAATTACGAAAGCATTTTTATTTAATTATAAAATATTGATTTAATTTTAATGAATAATTTTTACTCATAAATTTTAATATATTCATAGGATAATATTTTGATATATATTTTTTAATATTATTTGGTTTATTTTCAATACAAAAAGTCTGTTACTAGCATAATAAATTTTAGATAATATATACTTAGATAAAATGGTGATTAAATAAATAATAGGTAAATAATAGGTAAACAATAGGTAAATATATATATATATATATATTAAATTTAGTTGCATAAACAATAAATCATGTCAATAGACAAAATAATCGAAATAGTGCTTCATATATAAATACATATAAATACATCCTGAATTACATGCTTTAAATGATTAATATATTGCAATGTAAGTTAGAGTAAACTTAACTTTATGCTAAGCAGATTATCACAGGCATTAAACTACAAATGCGTAATTAGCTTTATGGTCATGAGGCTTGAATGAAATATATGACAAATTCTTATCACTAGCCACCGGAAGCATAATGATTATGCCCATGTCCGCTTTCATCCTCATCCTCTTGCTTCCAAGCTGTTTTTCCGCTTTTAGAATAAGCAAGTCGTTCATTTTCTATAAAATTGATTTTCTCATTATAAGTAGATTAAAAAGAAAGTTAATATTTATGCGTAGCATTTGGTTTAATTGCGTTAATAAAATGTTAATATTTTAATAAATTTTATTTTTATATATACATATTATATTTATTTAAAAAGTAAACTACAAATTATACATGCAAATATAGTTCAATATTATCATTTAAAAAAATTTAATAATATTTATTAACATTGTTAGTTAGAATTTAAAATAAACAACTGTAGAATTATTATTAAAAATAATTCAAAGTTGAGAAAAGGTTAATAGTATTCTACAAAAATTAGTTCATTATTTTTCTAGAGATGAAATCATGATATATTAATAATAATTAAAAAAATAACAATAAATCTTTTTCAATTAACTTTATTTTGTTAAATATACTCTAATTTTAATAAATATTTTAATGATACATGTTTTAATCCAATAAAAATATTTACAGCAGTACAAAAGAAATAATTTTTAGTCTTTTTTTACGAAAGATATAAATTAAGTATCAATTACAATTTGTTTATAAAAAAATCTACGAATACATTTTCACGTATAACATTATCAAGTTTTTTAATGTAATATGAAATAATATTGATAAGTTCTCACGTTTTTACAATAAAAAATAAAGTACTTATTTTGGACGCAATTACTGCTCTTTTTTGCATATATGTAAAGATTACATTGGAAGATTACTAAACAGCATAAAAAGGAAATATATACTCGCGTTGGTTTTTTCTTTATCGCTGGTAAAATGACTGCGGGTATCCGGACAATTGTTTAGAGGCGAGTTAGCACGTGACAAAGGGAGCAACGATATCGCGCTGTGCGAATCGCAACGTGCAGCAATCGTCAGAACTTTTAGTGCTTGGTATATGCTACTTTTAAATTACTTTCTAAGCTGTTGTACTACAAAATTAAATTTTTTCATTCAATTGAAAATATAAAAAAAGAACCAAAGAATTTACTGATTTTATGTAATATTTTTATAAATGTAATATTTTTATTCTTTCAAACATATATTGGGAAAAGATCAAGTTTAAGTTATTAAAGCTTATGATATTATTTATTATCTTAATAATTCGATATTTATTATTGAAGGAATATTTATAGTAATGGCTGTTTTAAATTTTATGTAAATATTAAAATAATTTTTTATTTTTATTACATAAATATAATCTTATTTTAAGAAGACTTTTATTTAGATAAGGCTGATGTGAAATTAGTATGGAAATAAAATGGTTGAAAAATATATGCTTTTAAATGAAAGTATATATTTTCTTAAATTCATATATGAATTATTCTTTTAACATTTGTTATATATTTTAACTTTATATATATATATATATATATATATATATATATATATATTATACTATATATTTTAAGTTTAACTTAATTTCTGTTTAGTCATTTTTTAATTTTTTTCATAAATGTATAAAAAATTTATTAATAAATAATTTATATCCTAGGTCAAATTACAATATTTGCAAAAGATGTTATATTAATAACAATAAGTCATCAGTATTAAAATTAAAAATTATGATTGAATTCAATTATTATTATTGTTGTAGAAATAATTTTTAATATTTATAAATGTTAATTACTTTATAAAACTAAGCAATATATATTTTTCATTAAAATGATGACTATTGTAGCGTAATAAATATAAAGGAAAATGTTATTGATTTCAATTGTATGATTCATCAAAGAAGATAACAATGTAAACAATGAAACAAATCAAAAAAATATAAACAAATACAGTGCACAACATCGAAGCTGAGTACTTTACGGAAGGTCGTGAATGTGTGAATTGCGGGGCGGTTTCAACTCCATTGTGGCGACGTGACGGCACCGGTCACTACCTCTGCAACGCCTGCGGACTTTACCACAAGATGAACGGCATGAATCGGCCATTGGTTAAGCAATCACGGCGCATGGTAAGCGAGGAGCGAGCATCCAGTCCTGGTAAAAAGAATGAGCAAAGCGCTATAATTTTAATTTTGAAAATTTGCGAAATCATAGTTCGAGTGAAATATACTTTTACTGTATATTTTATTTAAAATTTATAACTAGTAATCCAGTAATTATGTAATATTGTGTTAACTAATATGAAAACTTTCAAATTATTACACAGTATTATATATTTTGAAGTAAGAATTAAAGAAAATTGTGCTTTTTACTATATATAAGGCTCTAGAAATTGATTTTTATAAATAATTTTCAAATACGTTAATGTTACCGATTTCGTAAATTTTCAGTCTAATTAAATCGTCTTTGTGAGAATAATCGTTCAGTGTCGCCTATTGATGGGCAACCCAATAGTCGTATATTAAACGCCTATATAAAGGCAACCAGGAGCCTCTGTGGATATTCGCCTTTAGTCGAATTGCTAAATTTGACGCAAATATCGCATATAAACATATAAAAAGCAAAAGATTAAAATTATACACAAGTATTGCATGAATATTACTCTATACGAGACAAATAATAAGAGGATAATATTGACCTCTCTGTTATTGTTGAAAAAGTCACGCTAATCCATTTCGAGAAAACAGTACTAATTTTTGGCCTCATGTCTGTTTCAGTGGCGGACCAGGGCGAATTCTACAAAGGCTTCTGTGGGTATAGTGGCGTCCCTCGTACCCTTGAAGAAAAACCGAGCCGGCGTTTGGTAGGTGTCACTCCCACTCCTTAGTCCTTTCCGCCATTTTTCTATTACTCTATGGTTATTTTTCGTACACTATATTTCACTTTTAACCATTGACCGACATTCATTATTTTTAATTTTATTGCTTATTATTTCATTTATAATATATTTTATTTAGTGAATATATTAATTAATTATTCAAAAAATTACCTTTTCAATTTTAAAATTTAATAATTATTTGATAGTATTTTCATTTTTTAAATATAATTATATATATAATATTAAACATCGATTTATTCTCTAATACATTATAATTTAAGTATACATATATAGTTGTAGTATTACTTATTTCAAGAATATATTTATTTCCAGCTATCTAAACCTCATTTATATTTTTTGATTCAATATGAATATAAATCTAATTATCATTGTAATTATATTTATAATAAAAGTTTGATCGATTTTATATCATTAATAAATACTATTATATTAATGTGAGAATCATTTCTTATCATTTATATGATAATTCTATGAATCACAAATAGCATCTCATGAGTTAACTATCCTTCATCGCCGAAGTAAACAACTTCATAATTAATAAAAAAAATTAGTTATAGCTTTTTCATTGTTTATGGCTACTTTTATCATATATAATTTGAGGTGCCACTATACCCATGGTATATGCTTACAGAAAAAAAATCCTCCTCATGTCATGCTTACAACCTTGGATTTAAATATCATAACAGTTGGAAAATTAAGAAATTATAATTGCAGTTGTTTTCATAAGTCTCCTAATCAAATAAAGAGATCTTTGATGCAAATGACATTTTTATTGCATAAAGTTTTATATTATTGTTAAGGTCTTTGAATGTGAGTAATGGTATTGAGCATAATTTCTTACTAATATGATTATTCAAGTTATTGTTTTTATCTTATTGTTGATAGATGTTGATATAAAATTTGTTTATAGAGATTATAACCATGTCTAAATATTATAATTTTTTGAAGTTCAAACACTTATTAAATTTAAGTGGCTAATGAAATAAAATATGGCGCCATAATTAAAATAATTTTTATAACTATTTCATAATAATGTAATTGTATGGAAAACTAATTACTTTAAAAACGAGTACATAGAAAATTAGTGGCCTTTGCTATATTGAATTTAATACATACACTAAAGTTATAAGTATTTTCAAGCTTTTATCATATAAGTTCGAATTATTTACAATTTTAACTCTTAACAGTAATTCACAGGGTAACTGCAATATTATAATATATTGTCATAATTATAAAATATGTGAATAAATATCTATTATTAAATTGTATTCATTACTATAAATAAATTAATAATTTATTTTTAATTCTTTTATATTAAGTCATCCTGCAATAAAAATTTAGTTTGATAATAAACTTTAATTGCATCTTTTTTTTTCTCTTTCGACAGTCGGCGTCTAGACGTGCTGGTTTGTCTTGTAGTAACTGTCAAACAACGGCAACGGCGCTGTGGCGTAGAAATGCGCATGGTGATGCTGTTTGCAATGCTTGCGGCCTTTATTTTAAATTGCATGGTATCAACAGGCCACTTAGCATGAAGAAGGATGTGATACAAACACGCAAGCGCAAGCCAAAAAATGTCAAGATTGGTGATACACCAATATCTGGGCCTATCGCTCCGTGCTCCGTCAATCATAATAACAATAACAACAACAATAATAATAATAACAACAACAATAACAATAATACGCTGAAGATCGAGACCGGTAATTATTTCATTCATTATTTCAGAATCTGAATTTTCGTTAAATTTTACCTATGATCATACAATTTATTTAAATTATTTGCATAATAAAAAGATGTTTAGATAGGAACTTGATATATCGTCATTTAGTACTATTAAATATATTAACTTAAATTAAAATATTTTCGAAAATTTATAAACTTAGACGATAAAAGTCTTTAGATATAATTTGATTCTATTTTATATCATTTTTACAATTTATTTATTTCAAAATAAAATAATAGTTTATAGACTAAACTTTGTGTTGTTGATAATATTATCAATTTTTGTAGTATTTGTAATATATATTATATATATATGTATATATATATACATATAAGCACTTATGTTAGATAAATGTAATTTACATATTAAAAAATTTAAATTGTGTTAAATGATTTCAAGTCATGCAAGTATAATATCAACATAAAAATATATTTTAAAATATTTTAGTTTCTTATATCATTTTTCTTATATCTTTCTATTTTCAGATTTTTTGTATATTTTTTTTGTTTTCCAATAAAAAATTTCATAATATATTTTTAAAGTAACTCAATAATCATTATTAATTTATTGAATACAAATATTATTATATTTGATTTAAGAAGTCAAAAAGTATTCAAATAATATATGATAAATAAATAAATTAATATTTGAATTTTTAACTATAATAATTAAATTACTAATTTTTATTTCTATAATTAATTCTAAATTACTTTTTAATTTTATTCTATATTTTCTTTTATTTGATTTCTATTTATTAATAATAATTTATCAAATAAATTATTTATACCTAATTACTTTAGATGTATTTTTTCAAAATTAGTTAGAATTTTAAATAATCTATTTTTATAAGCCTTTTTGGCGGTTATTTCATATATAAAAAATTTAATTTATTGACATAAAACAAAATCATATAATATTTAAATCTGTAAAAATTTTATGAATAATGTAATAATATTTTTAATACGCTAACTCATATAAGTTTTTGAGATTTTATAATGTATATTATAAGAGTCATTGCATATATACATAGTTTAATTATTATTAAATAATTAAATAATTAATTATTTTTTATTATTTAATTAGTTTTTAATATTCCAAGATTTTATTACAAAAAATTATAAATTTAAAATTTTATTTATTAAATTTAATAATAGTATCGTTTTATTTTAAATTTCATAATCATGCATTTTATTTTAAATGAAATTATTAGTTACTTTAGCAGATGCTTAAAATATGATTGATTAGCTTTACCAAAATCTGAAAATATTTTTAGATAAGAGGTCATAGTAGTCATAAAATAATAGTTGCTTATTATTTTTTGTTAATTTATGGATGATAACAATAATGACAATTGGTTTTAGACAATTATAGTGATTTACGCCTAAGCCACAGTAGTGTTACGCAGACCACCTACGCTTCGAGTCTCTACGGTAATCAGTCTCAAGCCAACCGAATATCCACTATTTCCTATCAATCGGGCATGCCAAATATCTATTATGATGTTATGTCTCAACAACATCCACAGCAACAAACATCACAACAACAACAACAGCAACAGCCACAACAACAGCAAAATCACAATTTAGAAAACCATCACTCACCGAAGGTTGAATGCCCATCGCCACCTTGTGCCACGCGTTCACCTGTTCTGGTATCAGCTGATCATTCACCTGATCATCAAATTTCTTCGTCACCGCATATTGTCACTCTTACTAATTCATCGCCAGGGACAGCTGGAAAATTACATATTGATACTATCGAACGGCCTACCGTTGTATCAATACCTTCATAGAAGAGTCTACATATATCTTTAATTTGTGATGTATAACTTTTATTTTCAAAGTCTACATCAATGAAGCACAATGTGCACTATATTAGATCTTGAAAATACTTTGATGAATGAATTTTAAATCACTTTAAAAGTTTTAAAGCTATAAATTAATTATCAAAGCAAATAGCGGAATGTATAATGGATCACGAATGTTATCAAGCATTTGGTTTTATTCGTAATTTTGTCAGACGTGTATTTATTACACTTGTATTTTTACACCATATATGATTTTTTTTAATTAAAAATCTGTGCTTATTAACTTAGAGATTTTAGATGCGTGCAATTTGGCAATTGAATGTTATGAAGAGATCAATGAATTAACTTTTTTTGTAAATTTTATGGATTTTAATATTATTTTCAAATTTTAAGAATTGGTATCTTGTTATTTTATATCATTAAAATTTTGTATTCATAATTAATTTATTTATAAACGATTTTTTTAATTTTTCGTGTCCTCTTATTACATTTTATATTAGTCATAGTTATGAAATTATAAATTATACACACATAACAATTTAGTTTTTTATGGAATAAAAATATTTCATTATTTTTTCGTACAAAATACTATAAAGAGTATGTGAAAAGTAGTTACAAATTATTGGACTGGAAAGATTATGAGCTCTTATAATTTTCATTTAATTTTTATTTAATTAATTTTTTCAGAGAAATATTTGGAATAAAATATACATGTCACTTATAATGTTTTTAATTAAGTTTTTCATTGATTTTTATAACAGAATATTAATTATTAGTTTCAAATAATAAAATATATTATTTTTGTGTAAAATATTGAAATATTTATTTGAATATTTTTTATTTCAACAAATTAATAAAATTAAAAGTGAACCCATCGTTTTAACATGATATAATTTTAGTCTAAAAATTTTTCTTTAGAACAAAATAATAATAAATAGGATTAATCTATCTAGAATATTTAATTTCAATTTTTAAACAAAAGCTTAAGCATATAGATATATTATAAATAATAAAGAAAATATTATTATAGTAAATCACATTTAAAAGAAAAATAAAAGGAATTTGTGTAGTTTAATATATAAAAATAGTTAAAAAGAAGCTGTTATTATAAAATGATATATTATAATAGTAAATCATATTTAAAAAACAAATAAAAGGTATCTGTGTAGTTTATTATATAAAAATAGTTAAGAAACTATATAAATTTAGTAGATATAAGCATTTAATGGTAATTGTGAAATCAGACCTGATAATCTAAATTTTATTAAATATTTAGCTAAAAATACAAGAAAAATACTAAATATGAAATATGAAGTATGCGCAATAAAACTTATTTTAAATATTTAAATATGAAAAGTATGTATTGATGAGATTTGTATACAAATGTGTTAATTTATTAAATTATTCCTAACGTATAAAATTTCAAACATTTATATTGATTGTTTTTTTTTCATTTACTTTTTCAATTGTCGAATATAATACAAAAATTAACTTTTGCAATAATTTATTAAAAACAACACTTCATAATAAACTATTGTATAATAAAATGAATGTCGAGTTATCATTAAATTATGAAAATCTTTATACAACCGAATAAAAGTAATTGTTATAATTATTATTTTCACAAGTGGAAACTTTTTATAAGTTTCTCATTTTTTTATATTATTGTTTAGATGGTAAAATAATCATGTTCTGTCACAAAGTATAATTAATATTACTAATATATATTTTTATCAAAGTTAATTAAATCAATTTCTACAAATTTTCTATAATAATTTTTCTTTTATATAGTTTCCTTGCATTTTCATCAGGGATAGATAATTCCAAACATTTATTGTATAATGCTTTAATAATTATTATTTGTATACTTGATTTATAGAATATAAAATTTAAAGTCAAATAAGTTGTGTCAATTAGAATCAAATAATTTATAATTATTTAACTATGTTAGAAAATTTTATAGTTCGTAGATAATTATTTTATAATTTTTTTTTATAAACGTATAATTGATGTCCAAAGAATGCTCTTTTAATAGTATCTATAATTTTACGAATAAATCACAGTGCCTTAGTCTTTTATAATGACATGCATAAATTTTTTCTATAATAAAATATACAAATAGATACCAATAGGTACCAATGAAGATTTTCAATTTTACTAAAAATACTTTTGATAATTTATTAGTAAACAGTAGAATAATGGAAAAAAATTTGCATTATATTTTTTAATTGTAATCTTTAACGATCATAATAGTAATAACGACAACAAAGACGACCAATCTGTAACAGCAATCATAATAACAATAATAATAGTTATACAAATATGTGGAATATTTTCTACAATTTCTTTAGTATATGTATAAAGTCTAATGATTCTGAGGTGTAATCTTGGATCAAGGCTGGATCAACTTTGCTTACAACACAATAAGATGGAGCTGTTATATGTTTCATATGTTTCAATGCTTTATTTTACTGTATATATTTAAATAATTATTATACTAAAAATTAGACTTTTACCTTAGAAATAGTAATTCGCCCCATATATTTAATATACTTTACACGTATAAAATTTAAAAACTAATAACTTTACAAAATTTTTATATTATCTTTCAAAAAAAGTTATTAAATACATAAAAATATGATTAATTTATTATGATCAATACCAAATTAAAAAAATGACAATATTATAGATATATTAAGAATGCTTATATAATATTTTGTTGACAGATATCAGTTTATGACTGAAAAAATGTATAATTTACAAAAATTGATGATAGTATTAAAGTGAATTATAAATTATAGAAAGTATATAATTTTATATTTTACTTTTTTAAAAAAGAAATCTAAATTTGAAGAAAAACTCATTTATTATTTTAACTTTAATTCTTATAATAAATAATTTTATAATGTCTTATTAGCCAAAAAGAATTAACTAAACTTCCATTTTTTTTTTAAACGCCAAATACTGAAAATCTGAATATTTACATATTTATACAGTTATGAAAACCAGTTGATATTTTTCATAGACAGCATTTATTACTTGTTAATATGAACTAGTTATTAGTTATAAGACTTGATAGATCAATGATCTATAGTTTACCAGTAATTTCAATCTAATATAATTTTAATAGATAATTAATTTAATAATTTAAGTTTTTGATGGTTGAACGACTGTGTTCGTATTTATTTTTTTAGTTTCTCTTACTAAACCAACCAGATAGACATTTAAAGTAAAGCAGTATGGTACCAAAATATATTTTACAATGTTTTGTAAATATAAGAACTATTTATGTTATAAGAACATTATAGAAAAATTGTAGCCCTAGATTATAAGAAAAATAACGATTTAATGTTATTTAACAAGTCCCTGCTTAAAGGGTCGATCGTGATGTAAGTATGAAGCATTTAAAATCGTCGTCGCTACAAAATTGTAATAAATTAATGGTATTTAATATTATTTTAATGAATTTGTATTATTAAAACTTATTGAATTATAGATATATTAGCGATTAAATGGTACATTGTGTACTTATTTTTACGTGACAATTTTTATCAATTTCATTTAAAATAAATATTCTGTAGTCAATTTATTTTCAGAGTATTGTATCGAATCATCAATTATTTTTAAATAAAATGGAATTCATTAATCTTACAGTCATTTGTTTTAGTCTATTTAAATCATTTTCCTAAACGCAGTAACTACATGTTTCATTGCAAAAATAAAATATTAAGATTAATAATAAGATTTTATATTACTACACAAAAAAAAGTTATAGATTTTATTCATAAGTAATAAATATTAACAACTATAAAAAAATATGAAATGCGTAAGTATTTTTTAGACTGTATTATCTTTTTCTTTATATTTAATATACATAAGATATTTAAGATATATCGATCGTTGTTATTGTTATTTTTTGTTCTTATTTTTTCCTCTTTTATATTTAGTAATTTTAAAAAATTTTAAAAATATTAAATAAATTTTAAAAATGTTATTAAAGTAAATCGATAATATACCTTCTTAAATGTTTATAAATATTAAATTTACAGGTTCGATCACAGTATTTGCGACATGTTTTTATCATGATTCATTTGAAGTGAATTTTTTTTAATGGATATAGTGTCTAATAAACAGAATATTTGGTATACATATTTTATTATCAATTTCTTTTCTATTGCTCTCATCTTTATAAAAACCATTAAGCATAAAAGAACTCTTTTTATATAGGCTATAGATTTATGATTCAGTGTTTGTTATTATAGAAAATAAAATTATGCACATAAAACAGATATTTCTTAATAGATGAATATATTATTTTCAATAACCATATTATATATGGTATTTTGTATAATAATTTTTTATAGTTTACAAAATCTATAACTATTTTTATGATCTGTTGTCTATTGGATTTCATTAGAATGTTTTTTGAATATATTAAATAAGTTAATGTAACTTATTAACTTTATTATATTTTCTAAATATTTAAATTACATTTACACGAATATAGTAATATATGAAATGCACAAATATAGTAAGTATTTTTTTTAAACGAACAAAATAAAAGTAGACTATTATTCAAATTAAGTCACAATATTTATTCAGTAATAATATATCAAACATTTTTCAATTTATTATGAAATCCATAAAGATTTTTTTGTAATTATATATTTTCTGTTTTAACTTCTATCTTCTAATTTTTAATTTTTCTTTAATAAATTAAAATTGGAATAGTTTTATATGTATATAATTATATAGTATATAAACCATTAATTTTATTACTGCATTCATTTATTCATAATTTTGCGATTTTTAGTATTTTTTTTCATTTTAATTTATTAAAATTCATTGGTATATAATCATTATATAATTAACACAGTCACTATGATATAAAAATTAATATACTTTAATACTTGAATGTGCATATTTTGTTATTTTATTTAAATAAGTATAATGTAAAAATATATAATATTTTATAAATGATATGGATTATACTACTATGTAATACGAATACATATATTACATAATACATTTTAACTATAATAAAATAATAAACATTTACCGATTATTTGATTAGATTTTATGTGCACTGGGGTTACGTAGCCTCAGTGCGTGTTTATTTTTCATCAGCTTTAAACATATGAACGGCTTTATACGA